CCGAGTAGCTGGGACTACAGGCACCCGCCACTTCGCCCGGCTAGTTTTTTTTTGGTATTTTTTTAGTAGAGACGGAGTTTCACCGTGTTAGCCAGGATGGTCTCGATCTCCTGACCTCGTGATCCACCCGTCTCGGCCTCCCAAAGTGCTGGGATTACAGGCTTGAGCCACTGCGCCCGGCCGCATCTTTCACTTTAAATCAAACATTAGAAATGATTAAGCTGAATGGGGGAATAATGAGATAGACCAAAAGCTAGGTCTCTTGAGTCAAATAGTTACCTGAGTGGTCAACGCAAAGGAAAAGTTTTTGGGGGAAATTAAAATGCTGCTCAAGGCTGGGTGCAGTGGCTCACACCTATAATCCCAGCACTATGAGAGGCTAAGGTGGGAAGATCACTTGAGCCCAGGAGATTGAGACCAGCCTGGGCAACATAGTGAGACTCTGTCTCTACAAGAATTTTTTTTTTTTTTTTTAGACAAAGTCTTACTCTGTCCCCGAGGCTGGCATGCAGTGGCATGATCTCGGCTCACCATGGCCTTAGCCTCCCACACTCAAGTGATTCTCGTGACTCAGCCTCCTCAGTAGCTGGAATTACAGACACGTGCCATCATGCCTAGCTAATTCTCTGTGTTGTTAGTAGAGACAGGGTTTTCGACATGTTGGCCAGGCTGGTCTCAAACTCCTGGCCTCAGGTGATCCGCCTGCCTTGGTCTTGCAAAGTGCTGGGATTACAGGTATGAGCCACCACATCTGGCCAAACAGCTTTTTTTTTTTTTTTTTTTTTTTTTTTTTTGAGATGGAGTCTCACACTGTTGCCTGGGCTGGAGTGCAGGGGTGTGATCTTGGCTCACTGCAACCTCCGCCTCCCAGGTTCAAGCAATTCTCCTGCCTCAGCCTCCCAAGCAGCTGGACTACAGGCACCCACCACCATACCTGGCTAATTTTTGTATTTTTACTAGAGATGGGGTTCCACCATGTTGGCCAGGCTGGTCTTGAACTCCTGGCCTTGTGATCCACCCACCTTGGCCTCACAAAGTGCTGGGATTACAGGTATGAGCCACGGCACTCGGCCCCCACTTTTTTTTTTTTCTTTTTTTTTGAGACAGAGTCTCGCTGTGTACCCCAGGCTGGAGTGCAGTGTCACATCTCGGCTCACTGCAACCTCCGACTCATGGGTTCAAGCAATTCTCCTGCCTCAGCCTCCCAAGTAGCTGGGATTACAGGTGCCTGCCACCATGTCCGGCTAATTTTTTTGTATTTTTAGTAGAGATGGGGTTTCACCGTGTTAGCCAGATGGTCTCAATCTCCTGACCTCGTGATCCTCCTGCCTCAGCCTCCCAAAGTGCTGGGATTACAGGTGTGAGCCACTGCGCCTGGCCCAACCTGACAGCTTTTTAGAAACATGGGACTGTGCTTACAAACGAATGCTGGGTGAAGAAAAACAGAATGCAATATTGTATTTATGTGGGGTATGGTTATTGTATATCTGTTATAGTTGATAAGAAAGAAAATAATAATGAGGGAGAAGGAGAGATAAATAGCAAAAGAGGGAGGAAGAGAGTAGAAAACATAAGGCCGGGCAGCGTGGCTCACACCTGTAATCCCAGCACTTCGGGAGGCTGAAGCAAGTGGATCACTTGAGGTCAGGAGTTCGAAACCAGTCTGGCTAACATGGTAAAATCCTGTCTCTATTAAAAATAGAAAAATTAGCCAGTCATGGTGGTGGGCGCCTATAATCCCAGCTACTTGGGAGGCTGAGGCAGAAGAATGGCTTGAACCCAGGAGGCGGAGGTTGCAGTGAGTCGAGATGTGACACTGCACTCCAGCCTGGGCGACAGAGCGAGACTCTGTCTCAAATAAATAAATAAATTAATTAATTAATAAAAGCAGTTTACTTGTATTAGGGTTATGGGATTATGGGGATTTTTTGAAAAAAAATGTTGAAAGCTATTTTAAGAGTAAATATAGGCCGAGTGCGGTGGCTCATGCCTGTAGTTCCAGCACTTTGGGAAGCCGAAGTGGGCAGATCACGAGGTCAGGAGTTCGAAACCAGCCTGGCCAACATGGAGAAACCCCGTCTCTCCTAAAGATACAGAAAATTAGCCGGGCATGATGGTGGGCACCTGTAAGCCCAGCTACTCAGGAGGCTGAGGCAGGAGAATTGCTTGAGCCTGGGAGGCGGAGGTTGCAGTGAGCCGAGATCATGCCACGAGACTCCATCTCAAAAAAAAAAAAAAAAAGTAAATATAAACTATACACCGGGGCTCTGTGACTCTGGCATGGTATACTTTGTCAAGGTTAATACTTCACTGAACCTCTGTTTGCCCCTAGGTGAAATGGAGGCAATATCAGTACATACCTCATAGAGTTGTTCTGAAGATTAAATAAGATCCTTCATGTAAAACACTCAGCTGAGTGCCAAATGCACAATAAAGATCCAATAAATGTGAGCTATTCTTGTCATTGTTATTTCATCATTATTATTATCAGTGAGCGGAAATTCTCACATGCTCTAGGCGGGAGTGTAAACTGCTACAGCTTTTCTGAAAGGCAGTAAAGTAATAGATATACAAATTTTAAACACTAATATCCTTTGTTCTAGGAATTTCATGTCTGGGAATTCACCCTTAGCAAGTAATCTTAGTAAACAATCTGACATGTACAGTGAAAGGTGTGAACAAGAATATTTTTATCACAGTTATTTATAATAGGAAAAGATTGGAAACAACCTAAAAAATCCAGCAATAGCTAAGTAAGTTATGAGACATACATATGGTAGAATACTCTGGAGCTATTGAACAGGATATTATATACCCTTTTGTAATGATACAGACATGTGCCTATATCATTACATAAACAAGAGGTAACAGAACAATATAGTCTCATTTATACAAGAAAGTAAATATGTGCATTTAAAAGCCTAAAAGGGCTGAGTGTGGTGGCTCAGGCCTGTAATCTCAGCACTTTGGGAGGCCGAGGTGGGCCGATCACCTGAGCTCAGGAGTTTGAGACCAGCCTGGCCAACATGGTGAAACCTTGTCTCTACTAAAAATGAGCTGAGCGTGGTGGTGTGCACCTGTAGTCCCAGCTACTTGGGAGGCTGAGGCAGGAGAACCTGGGAGGCAGAGGTTGCAGTGAGCCAAGATTGCGCCGCTGTACTTCAGCCTGGGCAACGGAGGGAGACTTCACCTCAAAAAAAAAAAAAAAAAAAAAGTCAGGCATGGTGGCATGTACTTGTAGTCCCAGCTGTTTGGGAGGCTGAGTTGGGAGGATCACTTGAGCCTGGGAGGTCGAGGCTACAGCGAGCTGAGATCACACACTGCACTCCAGCCTGGGCAACAAACAGAGACCCTGTCTTAGAAAAAAAGAAAAGAAAGGAAAAGAAAAGAAAAAGCCTGGAAGGAGAGATACCAAACTATTATCACAGGTCACCTCTGACAGGACTGTCACTTGCTCTGAATTATTTGAAATTTTTGTATATATAACTTAGAAAAATCCATGATGTGTGTGTGTGTGTGTGTGTGTGTGTGTGTGTGTGTGTGTCTGTCTGCCTGTTAGACTAAAGTAAGAGTCCTGGCTGGAGTTAGAAATTCCAAGATTGGAGATTAAAGCCTGGTAAGATGCGGCAGAGTTGGTTTTTCATCAGTTCAGAGACTCCTTAGTCCCAGGTCTGGGAGTCAGCAACTGTATTGAATTCAGCTTGAGATGGAAATGAGGGAGATTCATGGAGAGCAAGTTTGGGAAAAGGAAATAGACATGCAGAGATTTCCTGAATTAATAATAATCGGCCAGGTGCGGTGGCTCACACCTGTAATCCCAGCACTTTGGAAGGCTGAGGCAGGCGGATCACTTGAGGTTGGGAGTTCGAGACCAGCCTGACCAACATGGAGAAACCCCTTCTCTACTAAAAATACAAAATTAGCTGGGTGTGGTGGTGCATGCCTGTAATCCCAGCTACTCGGGAGGCTGAGGCAGGAGAATTGCTTGAACCCAGGGGGCGGAGGTTGCAGTGAGCCGAGATCACACTTTTGCACTCCAGCCTGGGCAACAAGAATGAAACTCCATCTCAAAAATAAATGAATAAATAAATAAATAATAACCATGAGAGCCTTTGCAGAGTGTTTTATACTTTGCACTGTCAATTATGCCCAATGCAGAGGACTATCTCACAAGATAGATAGACTGGAGTGATCACTGAGGAGACAGAGTCCCAGCATGTGAAATGGTACTGAGAGACAGAGCAGGAAATGGAAGTCAAGATTCTGAACCCTAAACCCCTTCCAGCTCTGAAGCTTGAACAAAATAAAACTCATCCAGCTCCCAGCCCAGTGCCTGGCACACAGGCGTCTTCAAGGCACCTGGCACCTTCTCCTCCAGGTGTGCTGCCTAGGTCCATGGGTGGCTGCTGTACTCTGGTTGCATTATCTCCACCCTTAGGGGCATCTGTTGTCCTTCAAGTTTGCTTTGCTCCAGCCAGACTCACTGTTTCCTTTCATCATGACCATTTCCATCTTCATCACACTGTTCCCTCACCCTAGAATATCATCTCCCTTTGTTCTGAGCCTTCTCCAACCTTCCTGCTTCCCTACACATCCAAGTCCTATTGGTCCTCCAAGATGGGTGCCAAATGCCACCTCCTCCCCAAACATGCACCAGCTGCTGGACACCATTGCTCCTTCCCCATGCCCCAGGTCAGCCACCTGCTTTTCTCTTGGGGCACATCACATCCTGCTTACACAAGAACAAGTGCTTTGGTTGCAGAGTGAGAGAGTGCATGAGTGATGAGAGATGGTGAGAGCATGGGTTGAGGGCAGGGCGTGTGGGAATGGAGGGAGAGATGGGCAGAGAGGTGATGACTCCTCAAACTCGTTGCCATCCTGACCCTGCGGGCAATGGCAGCACTTCCCCAGGGTGAATAACCTTGGGGCTCTGTCCCTTTAGGTCCTGCCCACATCATAAAACAGCGAGTGCTTCCTCTTCAGGACAGGAGGGAGAAGAAGTGGGGTGACTTAGGGGCTGAGCCTCAGCAACTGGGAGAGTTTATAAGCTGGGAAAGCAGACCCCTCAGCACCACCAGTTCTCCTCATCCCTCTGCTCTCTGGCTCCAGCCTCCCAGCAGCATGGCTTTCACTGGCAAGTTCGAGATGGAGAGTGAGAAGAATTATGATGAGTTCATGAAGCTCCTCGGTGAGTGAGCTCCTGCGTATCCCTTCCTCGGGGTTGGTTTGTCACGGTGGGACAGGATTTCATTCATTCATTCACACATTTGTTGAGCAACTGCTTTCTCCCAGACTCTGAGGATAAGAACTAAGACACTCTTTTTTTTTCTTTTTTTGAGACGGAGTCTTGCTCTGTCGCCCAGGCTGAAGTGCAGTGGTGCTATCTCCACTCACTGCAAGCTCTGCCTCCTAGGTTCACACCATTCTCTTGCCTCAGCCTCCCAAGTAGCTGGGACTACAGGCGCCCATCACCTCGCCCTACTAATTTTTTTTTTTTTTTTTTTTTGGTATTTTTAGTAGAGACAGGGTTTCACCATGTTGGCCAGCATGGTCCTCATCTCCCGACCTCAGGTGATCCACCCACCTTGGTCTCCCAAAGTGCTGGGATTACAGGCGTGAGCCACCGCGCCTGGCCGACACTCTTCAACTTTATTTTATTTTATTTCATTTTTGAGACAGGGTCTCACTCTGTCACCTAGGTTGGAGTGCAATGGCACCATCTCGGCTCACTGCAACCTCTGGCTCTCAGGTTCAAGTGATTCTCCTGCCTCAGCCTCCCCAGTAGCTGGGATTACAGGTGTGCACCACCACGCCCTGCTAAATTTTTTTTGTAATTTTTTAGAAAAGACGGGGTTTCACCATGTTGGCCAGGTTGGTCTTGAACTCCTGACCCCAGGTGATCCACCCGGCTTGACCTCCCAAAGTGCTGGGATTATAGGTGTGAGCCACTGCGCCCAGCCTAGATACTCTGACTTTAAAACACACATAGAATATATTAGTATCTCCACTTTACTGAGGGAAAACTTGAGGCCCAGAGAATTGAGTAACTAGTCCAAAGTCACACAGCTAGTAACTGGTAAAGTGGAGACTTGGATGGTGAAGTAGAGATTTGATGTTTATTTAGTCAAACATGTATTTATTTTATTTTTATTTATTTATTTTTGAGACGCAGTCTTGCTCTGTCTCCCAGGCTGAAGTGCAGTGGCATGATCTCAGCTCACTGCAACCTCCGCCTCCTGGGTTCCAGCAGTTCTCCTGCCTCAGCCTCTCGAGTAGCTGGAACTACAGGCGCGTGCCACTACATGTGGCTAATTTTTTGTGTTTTCAGTAGAGACAGGGTTATCAGCCTGTTGGCCAGACTGGTCTCAAACTCCTAACCTCAGGTGATTCACGCACTTCGGCCTCCCAGAGTGCTGGGATTACAGACGTGAGCCACGCGCCCAGCCTGTCAAACATTTATCTAACACCAGGTATATGCAAGACTATCTCAGTGTTACCAATGGGGACTCAGCGTGACTTGCCCAAGTCAGTGGCAGAGGCCATTGGCACCCAGGACCCTATGATGAATGGTCTCACCACATCCTGCCTAGGAGAGGAAACCAAAGGGTTAGCGTGGAGACCAGGTTTGACAAGCCACTTCTTCACACAGTCATTCAGCAAACACAGGTCTCTTACTGTGCCAAACACTCTGGAAGGAATGAAGGAATTTCATTCCTTCTCTCACTGCTTGACTTGTAACATGAGTCTGTTGTGAGGAACCAGTGAACCAGTGGGTCTGACAATCTTGTGGAAATCTCAGTATCTCACTATCTAAAAAGTCTCAGGCAGTGTAACTCTCAAGGTTCAGAGGACAGCTCAAGGATATCCATGCCCTCCCTCTTGGTGGCCACTTCTTGCCTGCCAGCTGGGTCAAAGGAACCCTGAGACCAGGCCCATTGAGCCTTGGGACCTGGAGGAGTCGAGAGCCCCTCTGAGTCATGCACTGGCAGTGGCCCTGAAGGAGCATGACAGCTTCGTGTTGTGGAATGGGAAGGGAACCCAGCTTGGTTCTAGACCCGATTCTGTCATTAACAGCTTTGTGTTGTGGAATGGGAAGGGAGCCCACCTCGGTTCTACACTGATTCTGTCATTAACTTTCAATGAAATACTGGGAAGTCCCTTTCCCATTCTGGGTGCTCACTTCCTTATCTGTAAAATAAAAATATTAGAAGACACAATCTTTTTTTTGGTGGAGGGTAGGGGACGGAGTCCTGCTCCGTAGCCCAGGCTGGACTGCAGTGGCACTATCCCCGCTCACTGCAACCTCTGCCTCCTGGGTTTAAGTGATTCTCTTGCCTCAGCCTCTGAAGCAGCTGGTGTTACAGGCACCCGCCACCATCCCCAGATAATGTTTTTTTTTGTATTTTTAGTGGAGATGGGGTTTTACCACATTGGCCAGGCTGGTCTTGAACTTCTGACCTTAAACGATCTGCCCGCCTTGGGTTCCCAAGGTGCTGGGATTACAGGCCTGAACCACCTCACCTGGCCAGAAGGCACAGTCTTGAAAGTCTCATTAATTCCAGAACTTCTCGAGCTTGGCAAGATTCCGTTATATTTATATTACTATCAGAAGCTTGGTTATTATTGATGAGCACCCATTATGTGCCCGGAGCTTCACAAACACACTCACATTGAATATAATTCTTGTAACAGCCCTTTGGGATGGGCCTTATTATCCCCATCTTGCGGATGAATACACTGAGGATGAATACAGAGAGTGACTTCCCCCAGCCACATGGCTCACAACATGTATTACCTGTCTCAGGCACTGTGCTCTTAACCTGCAGGCTAGCCTATCGTGTACATGGGATAGGGCAGTGGGGGTGGGCAGGAAAGCTCTTTCCCCAAACCACAGGGTTAAAAGCAGCTCTTATATGGCTACTTTGCTTATCCCCGGGTCCAGGGCTCTCCAGCGATGTAATCGAAAAGGCCCGCAACTTCAAGATCGTCACGGAGGTGCAGCAGGATGGGCAGGACTTCACTTGGTCCCACCACTACTCCGGAGGACACACCATGACCAACAAGTTCACTGTTGGCAAGGAAAGCGACATACAGACAATGGGGGGCAAGAAGTTCAAGGTGAGAGGCCACTGACTGTCCCCGTCCTTCCCCAGGCCTCTACCCGACTTCTCCTTCTCAAACACGGCCTCCCTGCTCCCAAGCTGAGGCTTCTTTCTCCAGTTTGGCCTCCAGCATTAAGAGCTTGAGTTACTTGGCAATTTAATGCTCCTGATTTTTAATGGTCAAAAATGGGCACCAAAACAATAAGAAAAATAGCTAATACTTGCTGAACACTTAATATAACCTAGACTCTTGCTGAATAGATTTTTCATCTTGATGCAGTTAATCCTATGACATTGCTACAATTACTCTCCCCAGATTGAGGAAGAAGGCTAAATCATGGGATTAAAAAGCTTGCTGGCCAGGTACAGTGGCTCCTACCTGTAATCTCAGCACTCTGGGAGGCCGAGGCGGGTGGATGGCTTGAGGCCAGGATTTTGAGATTAGCCTGGCCAACATGGTGAAACCCTGTCTCTACCAAAAATACAAAAATTAGCTGGACATGGTGGTGCATACTTGTAATTCCTGCTACTCAGGAGGCTGAGGCAGGGGAATCGCTTGAACCCAGGAGGCAGAAGTTGCAGTGAGCTGAGATCATACCACTGCACTCCAGCCTGGGTGACAGAGTGAGAGTCCATCTCAAAATCAATCAATCAATCAATCAATCAATCAATCAATACCTTGCCTTAGTCACACAACAGGGGCAGGCCTTCACACCAGGCACTAGAGAGCATAAGTGCTTTTTTTTCCTTCGAGACTCACTCTGTCACCCAGACTGGAGTGCAGTTGGCATGATCCCAGCTCACTGCAACCTCTGCCTCCCGGGTTCAAGCGATTCCCCTGCCTCAGCCTCCCGAGTAGCCAGGATTACAGGTATGCACCACCACATTTGGCTAATTTTTGTACTTTTAGCTGAGACGGGGTTTCACCATGTTGGCCAGGCTGGTCTCGAACTCCTGACCTTGTGATCTGCCCACCTTGACCTCCGAAAGTGCTGGGATTACAGGCGTGAGCCACTGTGCCCGGCCATAAGTGCTTTTTTAATGTTGCCTCTCTATGTAGCACAGAGATGAAGAGGCTGGGCCCTGGAGTGAGCCTTGGCTGGGTTTGAAACCATGATTTCCCACCAGCAATTGTAGGGCCTTGGGTAAGTCATTTCACTCCCCTGAGCCTCGTATCTCTAGTATGCAAAAGGAGACTACATACTGTCTCTGGCTCCAAGAGCTGTGGTGAAGATTAAACAAGACAGTGCATGAAAGCACCTGGCATAGTGCCTGCCACATATTGAATGCTAGAAGAAAAAACGCAGTCATTTGCTTTTGTTTTAGAAGTGAAGAAACTGGCCGGGCACGGTGGCTCAGGCCTGTAATCTCGGCACTTTGGGAGGCCGAGGCAGGTGGATCACGAGGTCAGGAGTTCGAGACCAGCCTGGCCAATATGGTGAAATGCTGTCTCTACTAAAATTACAAAAATTAGCCAGGCGTGGTGGCAGGCACCTGTAATCCCAGCTACTTGGGAGACTGAGGCAGGAGAATCGCTTGAAGCCGGGAGGCGGAGGTTGCAGTGAGCCGAGATCACACCATTGCACTCCAGCCTGGGCAACAGGGAACGGGGTGAGGCTCCGCCTCAAAAAAAAAAAAAGAGAACTGAAGAAACTGAGGCAATGTGTCTAAGGCCCTGCAGTCAGAACATGCTGGGACCAGGGATTTGAACCCCAGCTATTTGCCTCTATCATTAGGCCTCTGGTGACCCATGTGGAGTTCTAATTATAGAAAAGGAGTCAGGCTGGCGGCAGCAGGGGAAAGCAAAAAAGGAGAGCAAATAAGCTATAAGTCTGCCTTTCTTCATGGTCCAGAACACATACCCCTCCTGCACAAATAACTCACAATCTTCCTGTGCCCAGCTATCGTCACCCCCACTGATAGAAATATGTAAGTTATCTCACTATAACCTTTGCTTTGTCAGTACTGCCCAAAATCCTGTTCAGCACACTGCATAAGCAAGTCTATAAACTCTCCAGCAAGACTTTGTCTCCTTGCAGTCAGCTCCTCTCTTGCTGACCTGCCCAGTGCACCCTTGCAACATATTTTCATACTTTCTCTAAGAAATCTGACTTTTTTTTTTGCCTACAACTGTGTTGGTAAATTCTTTTTTTTTTTTTTTTTGAGACAGTCTTGCTCTGTTGCCCAGGCTGGAGCACAGTGGCACAATCTCTGCTCACTGCAGCCTCTGCCTCCCGGGTTCAAGCAATTCTTGTGCCTCAGCCTCCCAAGTAACTGGGATTACAGGCATGAGCCACCACATCCGGCTAATTTTTGTATTTTTAATATCGGGGTTTCACCATGTTGGCCAGGCTGGTCTTCCTGACCTCAAGTGATCTGCCCACCTCAGTCTCCCAAAGTGCTGGGATTATAGGCGTAAGCACTGCGCCTGGTCTTGGTAAATTCTTCTTACTCCCCGTGCCACCAGCCCCAGATAGTTACTAATCACCTGCAACAACCCAGGCTTAATGTTGTGCTTCCATTCCAGGCCACCGTGCAGATGGAGGGTGGGAAGCTGGTGGTGAATTTCCCCAACTATCGCCAGACCTCAGAGATCGTGGGTGACAAGCTGGTGGAGGTGAGTGTCCTGCTGGTCCCTGGGATGATTACTGGACATTTGTCTGTCTCCTGGCCACAGCCCCTCAGAGGCAGGCCTCTGGGCAGCTGGCTTTACCAGCACTTCCCTTGTACCAGGTTCTATTCTGAGTGCTGGATGCACATGATATCATTTGGTCTTCAAATAACCCTGTTAGGTGGGGATTTTTGTCTCCATTTTAGGAGGAGACTGAGGCATGGGGAAGCTAAGTGAGGGAGTACACAGCTTTGATGACAGAGCTGGGATTTGATGCTAAGTAGCCTGACTGCAGCACTCACACTCAGCCACCTCTGGGGCACAAGACTGGAAGCCTAGAAGATCCTTCCCAGAATATAAATAAAGGAGGTGGTCCAGGTGGGCTCCTCCAGGGACAGCCACCACTCCACTCCATTTCCATGAGGGACATCAGGCGCCTTCTACCAGATCTTCTGATTTATCCAGAGAAGATGGAAATTTGCACTTCCATGTGAAATCTCCACACTCTTAAATATTGGCAACTAATTAAAAAATTCTTTCAGTATTGGCAGGTCCAACACACACATCTGTGGACCCTCCTACACAGGAGGTGGTGCCCTGGGAGGCCCTTCTTCTCACTTCTGTTTCTTTCCCGTGGGTCTCCAAGTTTTCCCCAGGTGGAAGAAATGGATGTGAAGTTAACAGGGAAAAGAAGGCATTTCCACACTTCATTCCCTCACTGTGAGCCTGTGACCTGCGTCAGAGACCCTCTGGGGTCCTGTTTGGTCTAGAAAGGGCCCTTCCCTCCTCCCTGAAGCTCTTTAGCAAGGAAGGCGTGATGAGGGAGGCAGGGTTTGTGTGACCCCCTTGCTTCTCCTTCTTTGATCTTTCTCTCTCTCTCTGTCTGTCATTTCCTTGTGCCCTCATCTCAAGCCCTGTCAAGAGGAAAGGAGCACACTGCCTCTCTGACACTGGTGTAAATGATTTACACCACAGACACTTATTTCACACAGCTCTGGAGGCTGGGAAGTACAAGATCAGGGTGCCAGCATGGGCAGGGGCTTATGAGGGCCCCCGTCCTGGTTTCTTCACATGGCAGGGAGACGTCATCTCTCTCGTGTCTGGTTTTTGTTTTGTTTTGTTTTGTTTTGTTTTGTTTTGAGACAGAGTCTTGCTCTGTTGTCCAGGCTGACGTTCAGTGGCGTAAACTTGGCTCACTACAACCTTCACCTCCCAGGTTCAAGCAATTCTCCTGCCTCAGCCTCCCAAGTAGTTGGGATTATAGGTGTGCACAACCATGCCCAGATATTTTTGTATTTTTAGTAGAGATGGGGTTTCACCATGTTGGCCAGGTTGGTCTGACCCCATGATATGTACTCCCTCGGCCTCCCAAAGTGCTGGGATTACAAGTATGAGCCACTGTGCCCGGCCTGTTTTTTTTTTTTTTTTTTTGAGACGGAGTTTTACTCTGTTGCCCAGGCTGGAGTACAGTGGCGTGATCTCAGCTCACTGCAACCTCCGCTTCCCCCATGCGAATGATTCTCATGCCTCAGCCTCCTGAGTAGCTGGGATTACAGGCGTGTGCCACCATGTCCAGCTAATTTTTGTAATTTTAGTAGAGACAGAGTTTCACCATGTTGGTCAGGCTGGTCTTGAACTCCTGACCTCAAGTGATCTGCCCTCCCTGGCCTCCCAAAGTGCTGGGATTACAGGCTGAGCCACTGTATCAGGCCTTGTGTCTGTTGTTATAAGGGCACTAATCCCTCATGAGGACTCCACCCTCATAACCTAATCACCTCCTAAAGGTCCTATCTCCAAATAACATCACATTGGGGCTTCAACCTTTACCATATGGGTTTGGTTGGGGGACACACATGGAGTCCGTAACACGGCCCAAGAGGTTCCGTGCCCTCCCATTATATTCATTTTACAGAGAGAGCAGCATTACAAGGCTCAGAGATAGCATGGGACTTGGCCATGGCCACACAACTAGTACATGCAGAGGCAGATCTCATCTGCTGACTTCTAGACTAGGCCCCCTGCCTCTTCTGCCCAGGCCCACGGGTCTTTTTTATCCCCCTTTAACATTTTTGTTTAAGTAATCTAAAAATTGGCTGGGTGTGGTGGCTCATGCTTCTAATCCCAGCACTTTGGGAGGCTGAGGCAAGTGGATCACCTGAGGTCAGAAGTTCAAGACCAGCCCAGCCAACATGGTGAAACCCAGTCTCTACTAAAAATACAAAAAAAATTAGCCGAGTGTGGTGGTGCACACCTGTAATCCCAGCTACTTAGGAGGCTGAGGTAGGAGAATCGCTTAAATCTGGGAGGTGGAGGTTGCAGTGAGTAGAGAATGTGCCCACTCCAGCCTGGGCAACAAGAGCAAAACTCCGTCTAAAAAAAAAAAAAAGTCTAAAAATTAATAGATGTACAGTGTTGCAAAACTGTAAAAAGAACAAAAGTGACTGTATCCCTCTTCTCCTGGGTGAAAACTGACATTTCAAAGGATCTAATGAAAGGACTTTTGATGCACTTTTACATGAAATGTCAGTCAATAACTCCCAGAAGCAGCAAAGTTCCCCAGCCTGTGAGGTGTGCAGGGAGAGCATAGGGCAGGAGAACTGGAAGCAGATTTGGGCCTGAAAAGAGAATTGATCTTCCCAAGCTGAGCAAACCTGCTTGTCAATACCCAGAGGTTCCTCATCATGGAGCCCATGTGGTGTGGGCAGTGGCTGGAGTTCAGGGTCGTCATGCACACACACACGTGACACAGCCAGGCACGCACACATGTATGCATGCACATAGACCCAGGCACGCACACACATAAACAAAGTTCCATGACTAGGCCCTGAAAGGAGCTGTCTTGATTGCAAATCTCCCATCTCTAGAGGCCCAGAATCATCCTGGCACCTCCCCACTTCTCTACCAACAGACAGTGCATTTTGTAAGCATCCCTCCTGCCTTCTGCCACCAGCACCCCTGCCATGTTCTCATCACCTCTCCCCTACACTAAGCACCAGCCTGCTCTGATTCCACCTCTCCTCCACCTTCCATCCATCCCATATGCAAGTCACACATCACTTCACACTGCTGCCCTTTGTCATGAATCAGGACCAAACTCCTCTGCTTGACCTTCCATGGCCTTACTGCCCAGTCCTACAGGTATGCTCTGCCCAGCCCCCCTGGACCAGCTACTGCTCCTGAGCTGGCCAGAGCCGTTCATATCTCCCTTTCTGTGCCATGTGGTTTCTCTGCTCTGAACTCCCTTTCTCCTGTTTGCTTTTCCAAATCCAGTTCTGCAGGCTTCTGCCCAACAGCCAATTCCCCGTCCTGTTACCTAGTCAGTGGCTCCCTGCCTCCTCTGGGCTCTCCCACAGCTCTCTGTTTACTACCCGCCCTTCTCATGGAAATGCTGCTTTCCTCTGCTGGGTGTGCGAACCAGCTGATGACACGTGCACCTCCAATGGCAGCACAGCTCCACGGCAGGGAGCCCCGGGCACCACACACTGTGGGCCTTCAATGAACTGCATGCCCCCGCCTGCCTCTCCCACTAAACCTTAGGCTTCCAGAGAGTAGGGACTGTATCTTCCCATCACCGAGCACGTGACAGGTACCCATAAACACTGTGCAGTGCAGCCATGGCGTGTGGCCTTGGAAGGGTTACTTGACTTCTCTAAACTTCCATTTTCTCATCTGTACAATGAGAACAACCTCACAGGGCTGTTGGGAGGATTAAATGGAATCATGCAGGGGAATCATGGGTGAATGGAGAGGAACAGAGGTGCAGGGTTCCATACCCAGAGTCACATCACCCCTCACAGCTGGTTGCCATTCATCACAGGGAGTCTGCACACTGACTCCTGGAACAAATCGGGAAACTGAGGCCCAAAGAAGTGGTGCACCTGACTCTCATCTACTCAAGGCTGGGGTTGGAGGCTCTCTTCCTTCAGCGGTGCCTCCTGGCTACCTTGGGGTGGGGCACTGACTCCCTCTGTCCTGGTGGCTTCTTTCAGGTCTCCACCATCGGAGGCGTGACCTATGAGCGCGTGAGCAAGAGACTGGCCTAGGCATCCAGGCCCGGCCCAGGGAGCTACAAAACCGCCAATAAAACTGATATAAGGACAGACGCTGCTCGCTCCAGAACCTCTTTGTTTTTCTTTTCTGGTGTCTTGGGATGGGCTCTGGCTGGGTGAGGGTGGGAAAGCCCCCAAGGGTGGCCACATGCGCCACACATTGGCCCTGAGATCCCTGTGGGATTCACGTCATGGCAGAGCAAGACATGAATGTGGATGACTGCAATGCTCCTGCCCTCTGGGTGAGGCTGAAGGTGGCACACAGGAAGCATGGTGGGCACACTTCTGTGGCCCCTTCGCCTTTGCCCCACTCTGCCACCCACTACTCTGTGCTGCTTGAAGGTTCCTTTATGGAGACAAAGTCAGCTGGGAAGGGTAACACATTGATTCTTGGATGGGCCACAGGACAGGCATATCAGGACTTGGGGGTTGTGGGGTGGGAGCTGTTCCTCTAGGAAGGGCCCCGGCTGCTGGGCTCCAAAGCTCAAAGTAGGGATGGACCAGGGCTCGCCCAGGGAAGCTGTTTCAGTTTGGCCAGGGTTCTGCTGTTATTCGCTGTGGAGTCATCCCTTTGGTCCTCAGTTTACCCACTGAGGGGTACAAAGGGGGTCCAGGAGGACCAATGACAGGCTGAGGGGGATCAGTGGTCTATGAGATGGCAAAGGGGCAATGGGGGTGATAGGAGGGGCAGGAGGGACTGGAGTGTCCTGGTTTTGACTCACAGGGCTTGGGCGGGGTGCCTGGGAAGAACTTCGAGAGGCTACGGGGGGCTGGGAAGGGGGGGCGGGGTCACCCTGACATCTGGTGCCTGGAGTCCTGGGTTGAAAAGCACTCTGAGGCAACGTTTGGATTTGGCAGATGTCCTGGGACAATCTCTAATCCAGAATCCTGAAGGGGACTTTTTTCATCCTCCTCTCTCCTTGGAAGTGTTACCACATCTGCGTACCACCTTGACCTCATTTTACCCAATATTTTACTTTTCTTTCTTTCTTTTTTTGAGACAGAGTTTTGCCCTTATTGCCCAGGCTGGAGTGCAATGGCATGATCTTGGCTCACCTCAACCTCCGCCTCCTGGGCTCAAGCGATTCTCCTGCCTCAGCCTCCCAAGTAGCTAGGATTATAGGCAAGTGCCACCACGCCTGGCTAATTTTGTATTTTTAGTAGAGACAGGGTTTCTCCACGTTGGTCAGGCTGGTCTCAAACTTCTGACCTCAGGTGGTCCACCTGCCTCGGCCTCCTAAAGTGTTGGGATTACAGGTGTGAGCCACTGCGCCCAGCTACCTTGTATTTTTCTATATGACAATTCACTTATTTTTATTATAATGGAAAATCACGTCACTTCCATACATAGACAACCACTGTCATTTGCCATAATTTAAAACTATTTAAAAAGTCGAAGCTGAACAATGTTGACTTCTAGCCAGATTCTGTTGCCTGCCCAAGGGCCTGGGCCTAAGGCCTCCCTTTGTGAAAAGGGTGAGAGAGGTAAAAGATATAGTGGTATCAATTGGGAAAATTTATCCTTAACTTATCAAAATTCCTGAGATACTACTGAAAGGAGAACATACTCACTAGAAGACTTGAATTACCGAAGGCAGGTAGTACTTACATTATTTCGAATGTACAAGTCCCACATGTGAGACATAAGGAATAAGGTTTGTCCAGAGCTTTGCATGGGGTATGGCACACAGAAGGGGCTTAATAAGTGCTACCTGACCTAAGGTCCTTCTAGCTCTGTGCAATTTGTAGCCTTTCACTCTTGTGGGCCAGCCTCTACCTGGACAGATGTCACGGCCCAGGTCACAGGCAGCCTTTTCTTGCCTCCTCCCACATTCTACTTTGAAACCTTATCTTTCTAAGAACAATACACAGCCTCTCCCCACCCACCCACCCAGCAAGGACCCATGAATTCCACCGTTTTGCCAAGACTTATTACTAATTAGGTGAACTAGGTAAGCATTAAATTAAACTAGCAGTGTTGCTGTTTCCCATCCAGACTGAATAATTACTCATAATGAGCTTGGATAATAAGTCTCTAAATAACAGAGTTAACTATAATTAGGCTGAAAATTGAGAGAAGGGGAGAGAGAGAAAGAGGAAGGAAGAGGAGAGAGAGAGGGAGGGACGGAGAGACAGAAGAGATAAGGTAGAATTTTTACTTCTGTAATTGATTCAGGAACAAATTCAAATTGTTGGCAGGGGAGAAATTCTTTTTTTTTTTTTTTTTTTTGAGACAGAGTCTTGCTCTGTCACCAGGCTTAAGTGCAGTAACGTGATCTCGGCTCATTGCAACCTCTGACTCTCTGGTTCAAGCGATTCTCCTGCCTCAGCCTCATGAGTGGCGTGGATTACAGATATGTGCCACCACGCCCAGCTAATTTTTGTATTTTTAGTAGAGACGGGGTTTCACCATGTTGGTCAGGATGGTCTCGATCTCCTGACCTCGTGATCCCCCTGCCTAGGCCTCCCAAAGTGTTGGGATTACAGGCATAAGCCACAGCCCCCAGCCAGGGGAGAAAGTCTGAAGCCTGTGTTGTTATAAATTCACAGATTCACAGACGATGGAAAAGCAGGACCTCAGCTCTCAACTAGTTTAAACTCTGTACTTCACAGACATGGAAACTGAGGCTCAGAGAGGAAAAGAAATTCATCCAAAGTCACACAGCAGAGACTGAGTGAGTCTCTGAGAGTAAGGCGGGTGTGGGCTTCACTCACCGATGCAGCTACAGTTTCTCAGTGTGGGTAAATAGAATAAGGCGAGCTGGAGAAAAGCACCTACGTCATTGGCATCTTGGCAGGGAGGATTCCTCAGCCAGAAGAGCCAGTGGTTAAGAGCTTTGACTCTGGGCAGAGTGCGGTGGCTCACACCTGTAATCCCAGCACTTTGGGAGGCTGAGACAGGAGGACCATTTGAGCCCAGGAGTTTGAGAACATAAGGAGACTTCATCTCTACAAAAAATTAATACATTAGCTGGGCATGGTGGCACATCCCTGTGGTCCCAGCTACTTGGGAGGCTGTGGTGGGAGGATAGAATGGGCCCGGGAAAGTCAAGGCTGCAGTGAGCCATGATTGCACCACTGCATTCCAGCCTGGGTGACAGAGCGAGACCCTGTCTCAAAAAAAAAGAGCTTTGGGGACGGGCACAGTGGCTCACACCTATAATCCCAGCACTTTGGGAGGCTGAGGCGGGTGGATCACTTGAGGTCAGGAGTTAGAGACCAGCCTGGCCAACACAGTGAAACCCCATCTCTACTAAAAATACAAAAATCAGCCAAGTGTGGTAGCATGTGCCTGTAATCTCAGCTACTTGGGAGGCTGGGGCAGGAAAATCACTTGAACCCAGGAGGTGGAGGCTGCAGTGAGCCGAGATGTGCCATTGCACTCCAGCCTGGGTGGCAGAACGAGACTCTGTCTCAAAAAAAAAAAAAAAGAGGTTTGGAGTCACATTACGAGGATTTGAATCTTTTCTTTATCACCTAGTAGCTGTGTCACCTTGGGGTAAGTTCATGCATTTCTCTGAGCCTCAGTTTCCTCACCTGTCAATGGGAACAACAACTGTACTTACCTAATAGAGTTGCTCAAAGTCACTCAATGTTAGTTCTACCATCACCTCCATCATCACAACCATCACTCTCAGGTCAGTGCAATCAAAGGGTTAGGAGTGCCTCTGTCACTAACTTGTGAGTCACTGGACCTCTCTGAGCCTCATCTTGGTCATGTGTAAAATGAGTTAGTAAGACCTTCCCTTCCTTGGTCACAGGCGAGTTACAAGGATAAAGGGTTTATCCATGCTTTGGGAGGACAAGGTGGGCAGATCACTGAGCCAGGAGTTCAAGAACCAGCCTGGGCGACATGGTGAAACCCCATCTCTACGAAAATACAAAAGTTAGTCGGGCATGGTAGCATGAGCCTTTAGTCCCAGCTACTTGGGAGGATGAGGTGGGACAATCACCTGAGCCTGAGGAGGTCGAAGCTGCAGCGGCCATGATTGCACCACTGCATTGCTGCCTGGTGACAGAGTGAAATCCTGTTGCAAAAAAAAATTTTTTTTAATCCATGCTCATGACTCCCAGAAAGTTAGACTGGCTTCATCATTTGCTGCACTGTGCAACAAGCTAGAAGGACTTCACATTCCACAGACCTGGTTCAGGTGCCCTTTACCACAGGGTCTCTCTGACCTTCACCCTGACATTTGGGAGCCATCTCTCCCACTCTGTCCGGGCGCCTGCCTCCCTCCTGGCAAGCTCCTTTGGTGAACTTGGGAGCTATTCATAGCATCTTTAAAGATCACCACTAGGGCTGGGTGCAGTGGCTTATGCCTGTGATCTAAGCACCTTGGGAGACGGAGGTGGGCAGATCGCTTGAGCTCAGGAGTTTGAGACCAGCCTAGATAACACGGTGAAACCTTGTCTCTACAAAAAATGCAAAAAACTTAGCTGGGCCTGGTGGTGTGCGTCTGTAGTCCCAGATACTTGGGAGGCTGAGGTGGGAGGATGGCTTGAGCCCAGGAGGCAGAGGTTGCAGTGTGCTGAGATCACGCCACTGCACTCCAGCCTGGGGGAAAGAGCCAGACAAATGTCTTTAAAAAATTAAAAAAAAAAAAAAAGAAGAAGAAGATCACCATTAGGTGGCACTCTGCCACCTGCCTGCCATTCCTTGGATACCTGATGTGTTTGGGGGGAAGGAGCAGTGAAATCTTGGGTGATTGGGCCTTCGTGGTGGCTGTGTGTCACCTAGGGGTGACATGGCATGGTGAGACCTTCAGCCTCCCCGATCCTCAGTATTCTCATCTAGGCAATGGTGATAATCCAACTAGCTCATGGTGGCGTTGTTAGGGCAAAAGAGGAATAAGGATAAGAGCATGAGGAAAGTGCCAAAGACAGGGCCTGCCGCATAGTAAGTGTGCACAAAGGAGGTATTAAGGGCTCTTCCTGAAACGTCTACTGGTGAGAACTGGCACATATAGGGTAGGGCTTTAGAGCAGGGAGAAGTGTCCCAGCCTGGCTGTGCACGAGCTTCTCCTGGGAAACCTCCCATCTCAGACCTGCTG